TTTTATTAAAATTGACATTCCCCAGCAAAATAATTTTTGTTCTTAAATCTGCCTTTACAGTTTGGTGGATTGTAGAATCTGCTATCTAAAATAGGATTTTGCCCACTAAATTTTGTAGCCACTTGAGAAAGAATCCTTGCAGTCATCTGTTAGAATATGATACAAACATCTCATAATGGTCATTATTTAGTCTCTTTAGTAAGAAGAAATATTTGCATTGTTTCCTTGTATGGTCAGTGCTCTTGGATGTATGTTTATACCGATTCTTTATTCCTTGTCTACGGTTGTTGAGTTAATTTGTTCGAAATACAACATCATTAAGGAAGAATATTCTAAAATAATTCCGGTTTTTTTACCCTATTATTGTTGTTTTTATGTCACCAATTCCTTTGTTTTCAACCTTTTTCGTGCAACAACAATATTTTTTTTAGCCATGAACAAAATTGTAAAGAAAGCTTGGCGGAGGCACAACTTAAGCTATTTAGGTGCATGATTTGGTTTTGCTGATTTTAATATAATGCCTAAAGTCATGATTTGGTTAGCCATTAACGTCTTGGCTTGTTGTAGCTATAAGATTGAATTATTAAATTAAAGCTATTGTGTTTTTAGATAAGATTGATAAAATTTGTTAGCTATTATTAGCTATAAGATTGAGCTCAACCTCTCTCGATTATTCAATTAAAACTACTCAATTATTCAATTAAAGCTATTGTGTTTTTAGATAAGATTGATAAAATTTGTTAGCTATTGTTAGCTATAAAATTGAATGTCATAACATATATGTGCTCAATACAAAATGATAATTAGTTGTCTGCCTTATTAAATCCATTAAATTAAACTCTTTCGATTATTAAATTAAAACTACTCATTAGATCTTACGTGGTTCTTGTCTGTTACTTCCACATTACGTGGCGCAATTCTCCTTTGACTCTCAAACTTTGCCTTACGTGTTGCATGCTTACAAATTACACAGTCAAATTTTGCCTTACGTGTTGCATGCTTACAGATTACACCTTGCAGATTACATTGGGTCAAACTTCATCTTACGTGCTTCTAGCTTACGCATTACAGCTATATTTGGTTCGTTCGGTGATTATAGATATAGATATGCTTGCTTTGTTTGATTCTTTTATCATAGTGGACTTGCAATCATTACGTGGATTTAATGCATGCATGTGCTTGCTTTTACCAAAGCACAGGCTCTTTGTATAGTTAAGCACTCTGTGTGCTATATCTACATTAGCTTTTCCACCATCGGTTTCTTTGCTTTGACTTCCTCTACGTGCATACCAGCAACTATGATAATGTTTTAGAGATGTTTCTCTTTTGTCCTGCGTCTTTCTGTTAAGCCTCGATCTTGTGCCAGCTTTTGGTGATTTTTGTTTCCAATTTCCTCGTTCTCGCTTGCTTCAATCAGGTGCTGCTTGTTTTCCTTTACTGTATTTCTCCACTTTTGCGCCTAATATAGCTGTTTATTACGTTCTTCCTTCGGTGAACTTTTTGCTCTTTCACTGTGTTTGCTTATTTTTGTTTTGTATGCTTCAAGTTATGCTTCTATCATTTTCTTTTCCCCATCATTTCCATTTCTTTGTTGCAAGTTTTTAGTTTGCATGGACTCTGACTTGTCTTCTGTTAGCTACTTCAATGATTTTTGCCAAAAAACTTACTACTTCGCACAGAATTATTTTTCTTTCTTGCAGCTTTTTTGTCTGCATTAACTCTGAATTTTCTTGCGTTAGGTCACTCCATAAACTATTACCAAATTTAAAAAATCTGCTTACTTTTTCCTTTTTTGTGTATTTTGCTCATGCTCACTATGTGTCCTTTTTCCATGATCATAGCAGTTCATTCAATACGCCCCAGTTTTCCACCATCCTATTCGACGTTTATTGTTCAGGTAAAGCAATCCTTTCTTCACTTAATTGCTTCTCATCTGCTTACTATGTAGTCTATTCTACTTTGTTGTTTTTTATCTTGCAAATCATGTTTGTTATTTCTTTGCCTATTGAATAGCAATCATCTTTCTCATGCACACTTATTCTGCTTGCTTGAACAAACTCCAGATGGTTTGTCATTATTATTGTTGCACATTATGGATAACAGAATTCTATTGGTTTTAGCTGCAATTGCATATGGGTCGCAAGCGTAAATTTTCATCAGAGGATGAATATCGTTTAGAAAAAAGTCGCCGTGATCGTGAAAGACATATCAAGAAAATAGTTCAGCGTAAAAGAAGCCAAAATGCAGAAACACAGACTACTATTCCTGAAACAACTGAGCACAACCTTTTTGATGTTCCTATTCATGATGATTTGCCGCCTAAACATACAGTCGGTTGTTTCTGTTTGGATTTGCCTGTGTTTTCGCTTTCAGATAAAACAGATATTCCATCTACATCAGCTGTCTCTGCCATTGATTCATGTATTATTCTTCTCTTATTCATATATGGTCTTAGCTTTGTCTTCTTTTTCTCCTGAGCTATATCAAATGTAATCATTGTGCTAATCTTTTATTCATATAGTTTGTTCGCCTATAAATGATGATTCAGTTTCACAGAGCCTCTTTCATCCAGCTTCATCGCATGTTCATGTACATCAATTTCCTCTTGCTTCTCATTCAGGTAGCAGTAATATCCCTCTTTCACCCATTGACTATCACTGTGAAATCAGAGAAACATGCTAGCTCTCTCAATCAGTTCATTTCTCCAAAAAATATTCAGTTTGCATTCCAAACTTTGAATTTTCAGCCTCATCATCTGCCATCAAGGAAGGATTTGATATAGCAACATCCTCAAGAGTTCGAGCGGGTATCTGATCAAATTTTGGATTCCCCTCCTATATTCTATATCCTACGCATACTAGAAAATACACTTGCATTTTTAATATAACCAAATATCGACGTCCAAGAAATATACCGCTCATACAGCAGATACAATCAGAGCCAAGTATATTGCCATCTGTTCCAGATTGTATTCACTGTCATGCTAAGCGATTTTACATGGAGCCACCTCGATTTTGCTGTGCTTCTGGAGAAATCAGATTAGCACCAACCAAAATGCCTGATAAATTAGTACAGCTTTATAAAGCAAACACTCCTGAATCAAAAGAGTTTAGACAATGCATTAGGAGTTATAACAACATGTTTGCTTTTACATCTTTGGGGGTCCATTACAATAAAGAACTCAGTAAGAGGAATCATGGTATTTATACGTTTAGAGTGCAAGGACAGATATACCATTTTATTAACTCATTAGTCCCTTCTGAAGATGAAAAGGCATCGAACTTGCAGCTTTATTTTTATGATACAGAACATGAATTAGCAAATAGAATGGCTATCTCAAGCAAATTCAGAGAGTCTATTGTAGAACAGCTTAGGTCAATACTCCATGAAAATCCGTATTCTGCTTTTATTCGAAGCTTAGCAGAACTTCAGGATTTAGACAGATATCGGATATTTCTAAAATCTGACCCAGGCTTCGACCAACGTGTCTACAACACACCTACAGTATCTCAAGTTGCAGCCATTTGGTCTGAAAATGATCTGAATGACACTCAGACTTCGAGAAACATCGAAATTTCGACAAAAACAGGCAATAAGAAAATAGTTAAGCAATACTATGGATGTTATGATGCATTGCAGTACCCTCTTATATATGCTCGAGGCGAAACAGGTTGGCATCCAGGAATTCTACGAAAAACCAAAGCTGATATATTAGACCGACCTGATCAGACTTGCAGTGAAGAAAATTTACTGCCTCTTCATCAATGTACTAATATCGATCAAATTATCGATGCAGAAGAGAAAGGTATGACCATATATCTTTGTTCAATCATTTTATCATTTGAAAATCTTCTTCTTAAAGTCTTTAAATTTTTATTATTACTGCAGCTGTCAAGCAAAAAAAAAAACGCAGGCCAACTGTTTCATGCTGAGAATACTATGCATACAAGTTTCAAATTAGGAATGGGGATCAGTCCAATCTTCTGCATATTAATCGTCTTCTGCAGCAATACTCTGTTGATACATATGTAAAACTGGAGACTTCAAGATTGGAATTCTACAGAAGCAGACAACACAAATTAAGAACAGAAACATATCAAGGATTGTTAGACACTACCGCAAATGGTGAAACAAATGGCGCAAATGTTGGCAAACGCATCATTTTGCCAGCAAGCTTTATAGGTGGCCCAAGAGATATGCGTCGCAGGTACATGGATGCAATGGCATTGGTGCAACGCTACGGAAAACCTGATATTTTCCTTACTATCACCTGCAATCCATCGTGGCCCGAAATCAAACAGCATTTGGGGGAAAATGATGAAACTCAGAATAGACCTGACTTGATTGCTCGTGTCTTCCGTGCAAAAATAGAACAGTTGAAGGAAGACCTATTGAAAAAGCATATTTTTGGACAAATAGCAGCATATACATACGTCATTGAGTTTCAAAAACGAGGTCTACCGCACGCTCACTTTTTGATCATCCTTAAAGACAAGTGGAAAATGTACTCTCCAGAAGAATATGATCGAATTGTCTCTGCAGAGTTGCCAGATAGAATCAGATCACCATATCTATTCTCTCTTGTCGTAAAGCATATGCTTCATGGTCCGTGCGGCTCTCTGAACCCAAATAGCCCTTGTATGCGACAAAATAAAAAATGCAAAAACAACTATCCGAAAGATTTTTGTGACTTCACCAAGCATGGAAAAAGCTCATATCCATTGTATAGAAGGCGTGATGATGGAAACAGTGTCATGATCAGAGATCATCAGTTAGACAATCGTTGGGTTATCCCTTATAATGCATATCTTTTAGCAAAATATGATTGCCACATCAACGTTGAAGTTTGTTCTGCTATCGAAGCTGTAAAAAATATATATAAATATATATACAAGGGTCATGACCAAGTTATATATCAGTTGAATGCAGAACAAGCAGACAAAATTGTTGATGAAATCAAGAATTTCCAGTCTGCTCGATAGATCTGTGCCCCAGAAGCTATGTGGAGAATCTTCGCTTTCGATCTCAGTGTCATTAATCCAGCTGTTATTGTTCTCCATTTACATCTACAAGATTATCAGCCACTGTCCTTCCATGAAGATAGACCATTGCAAGATGTGATTGAAGATGAAAGACTTCACCGAACAATGCTTACAGAATTCTTTGCTATGAATCGAACAAATAAGCAAGCTGAAGATCTCAATTTATTATATAAGGAGTTTCCTCAATATTTTGTCTGGGATGAAGATAATAGAATCTGGTATGCTCGAAAACGTGGACAAGTCATTGGACGTGTGACCACAGCGCATCCAATAGAAGGCGAGAGATATTATCTTAGAATGCTGCTGATGCATGTTCGAAGACCAAAATCCTTTACTGACCTCAAAACAGTAAATGGATTCATTGCTTGTTCATTCAAAAGAGCTGCAGAAATTCGAGGATTATTACAGATTGACAATGGAGCGGAGCAATGTCTATCAGAAGCCGCGCTATACAAGATGCCATCATCTCTCAGGCAACTGTTTGCTGTTATTTTGATATATTGTCCACCGAGCAATCCAAAAAACCTTTGGGACAAATTTTATGACTACCTATTAGAAGACATAGCAAATCAGTCATTCCTATCAGAAGAACAAACAAAAGCAAAGGTTCTTCATCTTATTGATGAATATTTACAAATAATGGGAAAGAATATAGCATATTTTGGCTTCTCACAATTAACTTCAACAATGCCTTTCGCTGCTATCACAAAAGAAATTGAAGCAGAATACACAATTCCTATTTCTGAAGAAGATTTAGCAGCTTCATCGATACTCAATCATGCTCAAAGAGGTACATTTAACAAAATAATGCAAAAAGTCGATGCCAATGTTCCAGCTGCATTCTTCATTGACGGACCTGGAGGCACTGGGAAGTCCTTTTTATATAAGGCTTTGCTTGCAACTGTTAGATCAAGGGGACATATTGCCTTGGCAACAGCAACATCTGGAGCTGCAGCATCAATTCTTCCTGGAGGTCGGACTGCCCATTCTCGTTTTAAGATACCTCTTCAGCAAGAAATTAACAGCACCTGCAACATTTCCAAACAAAGTGCCATCGGTAAATTAATTCAACTTGCACGGCTAATAATCTGGGATGAAGCAGCAATGGCCAAAAAATATGCCATTGAATCCTTTGACAGATTATTGAAAGATTTGCTCAATTCTGACTCTATCTTTGGTGGAAAAGTAATTGTTTTTGGTGGAGACTTTCGGCAAACTTTGCCGGTGGTTAGAAAAGGGCAACGAGAAGATTACATCTCTGCATCCCTTGTCAATTCTTACCTGTGGCCTCATCTGGAAAAGATCCGACTCACTGAAAATATGAGAGCACGGTCAGATCCCTCATTTTCTGATTTCTTGTTGAAAATAGGAGATGGAACAGAGCCAACTATCCTAGATAACAAAATCAAGTTTCCATCTTCAATGCTTATACCTTTTATTGATGATACAACCTCATTAAACCTTCTAATAAATACTGTGTATCCATCCTTGTTTGAGTTTTTAACCAGCAGCTCTGCAGTTACTAACAGAGCTATTTTGAGTACAACAAATGAGACTGTTCAAGAAGTCAATCAAATTTTGATTCAAAGATTTCCAGGACAAGAAACCAGATACATCAGTTTTGATCAAACGCTTGATCCAACAAAACAAGTTGATCATGGAGATTTCTTAAATTCCATTCAGCCTCCTGGATTGCCCCCACATGAACTAATTTTGAAACCAATGTGCCCAGTAATCCTTCTTAGAAATCTTAACCCTGCACAAGGTTTATGCAATGGAACACGTCTCATTTGTTTAAATTTTGATAAGAATGTAATACATGCTGAAATTTCAGTTGGTATTCATATTGGCAAGCATGTTTTCATTCCTCGTATTCCATTGCACAGTTCGAATGATGAATCTTATCCAATACCCTTCAAACGAACTCAGTTTCCAATTTCATTATGCTTTGCTATGACAATCAACAAGTCACAGGGACAAACACTTGATTTTGTTGGAATATACTTAAAGGAACCTGTGTTTTCACATGGACAATTATATGTTGCATTGTCTAGAGCAAAAACCTCAGCAAATGTGAAGATCTTGCTAAGACCCGTTACTGTCCATTCTACAGAAAGCAGTTATACTCGAAATATTGTTTATCATGAAATCCTAGCTGCTGCTGCTGATACTTGAGTAATAATTATCTGCATGGTTATATTATATAATTATGTGTATGCCTCCTGTCTGCTTCTATAAGTTAATCTATTCAACAGCTGTAAACCTTTTTATGTTATACTACAGATATGGACGACAGATGCACACCAATTAGTGATCTAACAGAAAAATCTCAGGATGGGATGATCAAGATCATTGTGATTGAAAAATCAAATATATTCCCTGCAAAAGACCAAGGCTCTTTGTTCCAGCGTTTCATGTTTACAAATGAAAAGGTAAAACACTTATACTATTTCCTCTCTCTTATAAACGGCTTGTATCTTTTATCATAGACTTGCTTATGTCTTTTGCCATCTGACTGGTATACACCATTTCTCATACCTATTATCTTTGATTCTTCTAATTAACTACTTCGTGAATGTAACTCACTGCTCTTTTTTCCAGAATGAAACAATTCAAGCCATTGCATTCAATAGAGATGTGAGCCATGCAGACAACAAGCTTCAATTATATCATGCATATTATATTGGCAATGCCGGTATATCCCCCATAACAGATGCAAGAAATCAAGCTGGATCCCTGCCATATCAACTCACAGTAACAAAGGCCACCTTCATTAAAGCAGCAACCAACGCAAAAGAAATACAATTTGAAGATCATTTCCCCATTACTTCATTCTGGCAGCTTGACAAATACAAAAATAGTGATGTTGATAGATTTAGTAGTGCTTCCCTTCCTCAACTTACAATTACATATAAATAGACTATATATTTTCACATTAACTATGTTACACAAATTATATTTCACTTACTCAATATTTCACTGCAGATATCCTCTGCGCTATTATACAAGGATTCCCAGAAACAATCATACCAACTGCTAGAGGACCTCGAACAATTCGGAGATTTGTTGCTGTAAACCCAGAGTATGATTTCCATTTAATTTTTTTTGGAATTTTATACTCATCTAAACAGATATCATATATTAAAAATGCATATATTCCTGTATATATATTTACCTTCATTAAGATTATCATATATATTATTGGTGCAGATGCAGACCAATGATTTTCACCATGTGGGAGCCATTCGTCTATATTGAAGGAATTCAACTGATGAACATGATTCACACACATCCAGTGATACTGATTATCAGGCCAAAGATCACAGCATTTCATGGTAAATCCTCTATGGCCCAAACAAACATATATTTTTCTTATCAGATGCTCATCTATATACATTGACTCAATACATTATTAATTTTTACTTTTCACATACTCATTTACCTGGATTATTGAAGCAATTGATATCACCACAAGACCGAATACTACCATAGTTCTTGATCCCCCACTTCAGCAAGCAGCCACAATGAAAATCTGGTATGAATAATTACAGCACCCTCTAGCACTAAGATTGATCTACCCATAAAAAAATATCGATATAAGTCAATATTCTAACTCTTAGCCTATATTACAGGATCGATGAGAACAGATCATACATTCACAAAGTCATCAACGAGAAATTATATGAAAAGGACAAGCAGCAGCCAGTTGCACCACTTCAAACCCAAATACGGCCAATCTCACAGATCATTTCTTCCACACCACAGGTACACCTCATTTCTCAGTCAAGTTGCATTTTAATGCCTGATCCACATTGTTCCTATAACTTCACAATATCTCTCATCTATCATTATATTTATTTCTCTCATACTCATTACACCTCCAGTATATCAAGATTTCATATAACACATATTTGTATTCCCTTTTTACATTCTTAAATATTTCCCTTATCCTTTAGAAACTTATGCATTATCATTTCAAACTCCTACGACAACAGATGAAACATTTCTGGATCAAGGGAATGCCATTAATAGTGAATCTCAACCAACGCTTTTTCTCTCCTACTTGTCCTACTTGCAACAAGTCTACTGGCGCTTTGATGGATGTGGAATTTGATTGTAACTTTTGTGATTCCAAAAACAAAATTCCAAGACCAAAGTAAGTGTTCGATTTGATATATCTGTACAGTAATTACAATTTTTTTGCCAAGTAAAAATTTTAAACTCTCTGTTCCTAATACTTCAACAGAGCCAAAGTCCAACTCAATATCACGGATGATACTGGTTTCCTATCAATCACAGCAGAGGACAAGCATGCAGAAACATTACTTGGATTCACTGGTTTAGAAATCTACGAAAGATACCTTAAGGTACTGAATTGAACTTACCTTCATAGAAAGGTAATATATAATACATGCATATTCATAGCTTTTTAACATTTACTATGAATATATATTACAGCAAGATCCAATTCCCATTCAGCGCATCAATGAAGAATTACAGAGGCAAACACTACTTTGCGAAGTCAGATCATACTGGCCACCTCAGAGACAATACATGCCACTCTACTTTTTAACAGCATTCATCCCAGAAGAATCAGCAAGTGAAACTCTCTCTGATCAGCTCGCTCAGACCACGCCACCAACACTGCTAACAGGACCAACATCTGCACTTAGCAATACAGCCGAGGAAACTGTTTCAGACACAAATGTCACTGAAATACCTGCCTCTTCAACCTCACTCTTAGCAGAAATGTCATCATCCGTCAAGCGCAATCTTGAGCCAGATTTCTCTCAACTCACAAAACATCAAAAACTAGACTAAACACTTTACATTACAGTCAAATGTAAAAGTAAGAACTACACTTTTTGTTCAACAACCAAGGCAGCTCGTTAGAATTTTGTTTTGTAAAAATTGCAACTAACTTTTGTACCAAGCTGCACTCTCCATTTAGGATGTATATAAAAAAAACGCATGCTTTTTGCTTTTATACTCTGAACCTATTTCATACCCAAACATCTTCTTCACAAATAAATCATCAATTGACACTGTTACACTACATAATATGGGCACCCCGCGACAGCCGCGGGGTCCAATGCCTAGTGTTGCATAAGGCCATTTACAATCTATTGAAAATCCACCAATAAAGTAAACAGTGCAGCCGTCGGAGAAGCAACAATTGGTGCAAGATGTGTAGGTCTTCGTTCCATTACAGATCTGGTACACGGTCGGCCCCATGCAATTCAATGGGCAAGGCCTGACTGCCCCGGGCCTGACAAGCACAGGCCTAACAGCCTTGACTTCCACATTTGCTCCCAGAAGAATCATTCCTATTTTCAGTATCAAAATCATTTTAAATCATATGCAAACCAAATTCCTTTTAATTTTTGAAAACTGCTCGAAACTGTTTTTTTTTTTTTTAAATAGATCGGATGAATAGTCAGGTTTTAACTCGCATACAAAAGAATAAAATTGTACATACCACAAAAGAGAATAGCCATGATTGCCATGATTCCTTGTCTTCCAAAAGTTTTGCTTCGATTTGAAATGGCGGATTCCGATTGAAATGACTGAGAAGTGTAAAGAGTGAGAGTATATCCAGCTACTAGGTGCAAATATTCTGCTTATTGTGCTTCCACGGAATTGTCGGATTAGTCCATCCTAAATTATTGTGCTTCCGAGTCCATCCAAAATTATTGAATGTGTTTGTATAGATGAATATTTGGAATAAATATTTTGAAAAAACACTGTAACACTTTCTGTAATATGATGTATATGAAATACAAAGAAAGATAGAAAAATAAAAAAAGTACTTGAGAAATATGTTTACGATGCAATCCATGTCCATCCTAAATTATTGTGCACCAGTCCTTCGTCAATTATTGGGACCAGTCCTTTCCATACATTCCGTTCTTCAGTAGAATTCCCATGCAAAATTAGTCACTTGCATGCCTGTCAAAATTAGACTGTGTATTAGATAGAACAGCACCAAAACTTGCTGTCTAAACTGATATATGGCTTGGCTTTTCTTGATTATGTCCGTAGCCATCAGTTTACTTTTTGTTTCTTTATCTATCAATAGATTGACTTTAGTTGAACTGTGTATAGGAAGATTAACCCTGAAATTCTGTCAAAATACATATGTGCGGCTTGACATGTTACAAGATAAATACATTCTTACAAACTCAATTGAAGACTACATATGCATCACCATTTGGTGGCCGCCCACAGCCAGTCCCTGCAAGTAGTGATTCAAATTGGGACGCGGGGCATGCACTGACAACCGTTCAAAACAGTATAATACTTTTTAAACAAGTTATAATTGCTTCTTAATTACTTGTGCAAACTTACAACAGTAGTGTGATATTTTATTATTGTTCATATAGATCCCGTACATAATAATTGTGTGTCTTGTTATAAAATTTTACAAGTAATTCACATAAAGTTACAAAAGTGTTCAAAAAGTGTTACATCATTCCGATCCGTGCGTGGAGTCCCTCAATTTGACACTAACATCATCGTACCCCACAAATGTGATTATTCTTACATTGTTTCATAGAATTTTGGGACCAGTCCATCCTAATTAAATCATTGTAATTCCTTGTCCGTCCTAAATTATTGTGATTCAACATAATTTTGGGACCAGTACTTCGTAAATTACCTGAACAAAAAGTCCTTTGTAATTATTGGACTGGCACGAGTCCCTCAAATTGACACCAACGCCAACTTACCCCGCGAATGTGACTATTCTTACCCCTTGTTTCATAGAATTTTGGGACCAGACCATCCTAAATATTGTACTTCCAAAGAATTTTAAATCACTCATCTTGATTTTAAACTTTTTAAGTTTACACCATAAAAAATGGACTATTTTATTCACAAAAACAATTCAATGGTAACTTTGGTCAATGCGGCCTGCAAATATTTTTTTTCAAGGGAAATCTTTTTTTTTTTTATATAGTTCGGATAATTATAAGGGAAAATTTGCTATATAATTGGTGAAAGATTTGATATTCAAGGATGGAGTAAAATTTTGTCCGAAGTCAAAAGTAGGGAGTTTGGATTCTTTTAATGGGAATCAAGCTAAAATGATAGATTTGCCCGTAGATAGTTTTGCATGAATTTAGGACCTCAATTGGCCACGTTATGTCCGTAGACTGTGTTTGGATAAGAGATTTAGGACCTCAACTGGCCTCTCATCCAACGAAAATATGCTTCATTTAGACCAATGCAACTGTGTCGGGATAGGTGATTATTTGAAATAATTTTTTCAAAAAAAAAATAGTGTAGCACTTTTCAATGAAAATATATTCCATTTTGGCCGATGTGACTCTGTTTGGATAGGAGATTATTTGCGATAATATTTTTAAAAAATAATACAGCACTTTTTTGATGTGATGCCAGTGAGATAAAAATATAATTAAAAATATATTTATGATGCAAACAGATAATTTTGTGTACATAATTTGCTATCCAAACTAATTCGTTGTGAGGGCCCGAGTTAGATATGTATCCATATCAACATTAATCAAGCAATCAATACATAAAAACTGAACCGTCAAGTTGTATTACATTAAACACGTAAGAAGACGACATTAAATTCTTGCTTGCATGATTTGCTAGATTTCAAATGATTCTTTCATATTGTTGATTATGTACCACATGTATATAGGTATCGATAAGGGTACCTCCTGAGAGGACCACAGTGATATATACCTCCTGAGAGGACAAAAGAACACGATTTTAGTTTAGTACTCTAAATTTGGGTTCAAAATGTTTTCGGACGTGTTCAGAAATCACCATTGCCTGGAATACAGCATGTACATGATCTCGTTGATAATCAAATTCAGTGAAGAAGTAATTGATGAGAGGAAAAATCCACTTTTTCTCCCTAAATTTTGAGTTAGGGACACATTTCATTCCCAAACTTTTAGATGCACCATATTTAATATATGAATTAATTATATTTTGCCACATTTAGTCCAAAAATAGTAAATTGCTTAATTTGGATGGAGAAAGTCACGTGTTTGGCATACGGTTGTTAAGTAAAAATAATTTCTCAATCAAAATTAACAGTCACGCCAATCTTCTCCATCCAAGTTGAATATTTTATCGTTTTTGGTCTAAATGTGGTCCAAAATAATTAATTCATGTACTAAATGTGATGTGTCTAAAAGTTTGGGAACGAGATGTGTGCCTAACTCAAAATTTAAGGACGAAAAGTGGATTTTTCCTTAATTGATATTCTTAAAATGAGCTATTAGATTCTTTTGTTAAAGAATAAGAGACTCAACAAACATCTTAGTTAAGAGACTCGACAAACATCTTAGTTATGCACATTTTCTTTTCGCTAGATTCCTTTCTTTTCTCCTTCGAATGGTGACTCAAATTGACATTAACATCACCGTACACCCCAAATATGACTATTCATACCTGTTTCCAAAGAATTTTGGGACCGGGCCACCCTTAATTATTGTGCTTCCACAGAATTTTGGGACCAGTCCATCCTAATTAAATTATTGTGCTTCCTGGTCCTTCCTAAACTAATGTGCATCAACAGAATATTGGGACTTGTCCTTTGTAAATTATTGGAAGCCAGTCCTTCCTATGCGTTCCACGTTTTAGTACAAATGTCCATGCAAAATTAGTTACGTTTTGATTTCCTCTACAATTATTCGTTTGCTGTAATTCCTCTACAATTCCACCGCTATATTTGATATACAGAACTAGAAGACATACAACTTGGTAAAATGAAGTTGAATGGTGGTGCTGGCTCAAATTGTTTTGCTCATAAAATTAACTATAACACTCCATTCTATCTGGCAAGTAAGGAATAAACAGATTTTCCAGCAAATTCAAACTTCTTGTATGTGGCAGCTGTTGAAATGGTTGTCACCGCTATTCAGATGATTCTTGCTTCTTGGCGTGGTGGTGTTCCTCGAGCTAAAGAAAATTGGGAGCTTGCATCGGAATCCAGATTTGATCAGCGTTGCTTTATTAATTGTTCGGTAGTGAATGTTTCAATTTTGATTCCGATTGTACAGTGCTAGAAGGATGCAGTAAAATTTTGTCCAAAGTCACGAGGAGAGAATCTGGATTCTTTCCATGGGAATGAAGCTAAAATGACAGATTTGCCCAAAGATAGTTTTGAATAAATTTAGGACCTCAATTGGCCACGCTATGCCCGTACTACCATGTCACATTATCTATTGGGAAGGAAAAAAATGACATTACAGCTGTGGGTTCCACCACAATATCAATCATTATTTGGGCCCCACCCTACCATGAAGGATGTCTTTCCTTCCCTCATTCAATTTAAGGCCTGTTTGGCAAATGGGTTTTTACCCAAATTTGCCTCTTATCAGTTTTTTTTATTAATTTTAATTACGTTAATTTTAAAAATTTCTCAAAATTTTTTATCTATACATTTCAAAATATCCAAAATACACAATAAAAATCCCGTTCTCCCTCTCTTCTTCCATGTCAACCCACCACCACGGTAGACTGGCTAGTGTCAGCAGATGCAGCTTTTCTTTTCGCTCTCCCTCTTCTCCCTCTCCCTCTCCCCCCTCCTCCCCTCCCCTTCCCTTCCCCTTCCCCCCGCCACCAGATCGGAGAGGGGGATGGCCTTCTCTCCCCTCCTCCCTTCCTCTTCCCTTCCCCCTCCCCCTGGTCCGATGGGGATGGCCTTCTCCCCCTTCCTCTCAGGGGGAGGGGGAAGGGAAGGGGAGGGGAGGTGGGGGGGAGAGGGAGCAAAGGGGGAGAGAAAAAGCAAAAAAAATTCTCATTTTTGTTGTTACAACTTCCAACAAAGTGAGGGAGAAGTGGCGAGGGAGGGGGAGAAGAGAGAAGAGAGGGAGAGAAAAAGCAAAAAAAAAAAATCCCGTTTCTAGTGCTGCAACTTTCGACGAAAGGAGGGAGAGGTGGCGGGAAAGTGAGAGAGGGAGAGGGAGAGGGAAAGAGAAAAGGCAAAAAAATAAATTTTTTTTTTGCATCTGCCTCTTCCGGCTGTGAGGGTTGGCGGCCTGGCAAGGGTGGGAGAAGGGAGAAGGGAGAAGAAGAAGAGAGGAAAGAAAAGAAAAAAGAAAGGAAGAAAGAGAAAGAGAAAGAGAAAACGAAAAGAAATAAAAAGTTTTTTATTTTAAAATTTTTTCTACAATTTCTACGGTAAGTTATAATAAAATTTAGGCAAACATTTCAAAAGATTCATTTGCCAAACGGATATTTGATTATTATTTTACTTTAAAACTCTAGAGCAAAAATTTTACAATATTTGAATTCTTATTGTTATTGGTCCAAAGCAGCAATGTTAGAATGCGATATTCAGCGCTAATTTGCCATGTTTCATCAATGCTCGATCACTGATAAATCCGGTGAAAATTAACTCTCAAATCAGGCTCACAATTCCCATGTTTAAATTGTAAAATTGAACCTTGACAATTTGTCCATCACCATAAACTAGTAAAACGAAAATACCCCAAAGCCTGAGAACTAGTGGCGTTTTTTTGTAAGGAATCATAGAGACATGCACAGCGAATAATTAAAAAAATCAATAAAAGTTTATCATGTAATTAATATCTTTTTGTCACACTTATCTTATATTAATTTTGAAATAAGTTGTACTTATTCTATTATTTGATTGATGTTCATTTCTTATACCAAAAGATGACCCCAATGAATAAATACCTAGAAACACTTTTTAAAACTCTTGCACTTAACGCTAAGAATTTCGAGCTATACTTCTTCTGTGAGAATCTCAAAATTGCATTAATTTCTGAAAATTAAAATCAAAATATTATTTAAATGTTGAATTTATTAAATAATATGTAATTGTATTTAAATATTGTTGTTTACTTATATAAATGTTATATTTTAAATTACATGAATTTTAAAAATTTATTTGGCGGTTCGTGTTCAGCTAAGCATTAGGGTGAATATTTGCGCACTGACGTGTAATGTAGCCCTAAGTTGAAATGTAGGGTATGTAGAGGTTATAAAAAAAAAAATGTACAACTAAACTGAGGAAATGCTAGATGAGGAAATTCTACCAGTAGATCAAAATTCCGCGCGTAAACGCGATTCGAATTCGAAATGCCCACCATTAATGACATGCCCAAAAAGTCAACTAGCCTACTCACTAGATTACCCCAATTTTCTTCCCATCTTGTCACCAGCTATCAACTCTTTTCTTTCCCTCCAAGCTCCCGATCCTCTGGTGCAAGAAGAAGCAGAAGCCGCTGCCATTCCAAGCTTCTAACAGCCTTCCATTCTCAGCCATTCACACCCCAATCTTCAAGCTTCCATTTCCAGCTTCCACCTCCATTCTTGGCTGCTGTCTCGACCGAGCAAGGAGGAGGAAGATCGCTGCTGCTGCTGCCGGCGTTGCGTCGGACCAGGGGAGAAGGAGAAACCAGCTGCCATTTTTCTTTCCTCTAACCACAGAACCTTCCAAGCTGACTCAAAAACCCCAGACCCAAACTTCTCTTCACCTTAACGTTTGCTGCTGTGTTGCTGCTGTGGGTGGTCAGACCGAGAGGGAAACAGAGAGCAAGGGAGCCGGCTGACCCTCTGTGGTTCTAGGAGCAACTTGAGGAACTAGACAATACCTTTAGCTAGTAAACAACCCACTTGAAGGTAACAAACTCCAGCTTAGCACCTTAGCCAGAAATTTCAGATTTTTGCAGCTTTTGGTTCTTGAAATATTAGCTTGCGTTGGTGAAACTTGTTGGGTTGCTGATCCTCTAAGCTAATAATTGATGAAGCTAGAGGTGTTTTATGTGTTTATATGTGTGTTTTGTGGTGGTTAAATGTTGGGGAAATTTTAAGAATGAAAATGGGGTGCTGGCCGGATGAGGGAGCAATTTTCCAGCTTTGTTACCGGTTGTTGTTTTGCAATTTTTGCTTAGGTAATGAACTGGATTGCTTGTTGGGAGGTTAGACTAATTAGTTGTGATTGTTATGGACTTAAAGTATGAGTTATAAGTTGAAGATGGTTGAGCAAAAAGAGGAGAAAATTCTGCTCTGCTAAACCGAACCAGCAGGCCTGTTTTTCTTCCATTTTTACCCGAAATTTTGAGCCGGATTTTTTGAAGTTATTGAGCTATTTAAATCGTGTATATGTTCACCTATATGTGTAGAGTAGTTTTGGTGAAAATGCAGCTTTGGTACAATGGGAAATTTCATTGAAAAATCAAAGAGAAAAATGCCCCTTGAGCTGTCCGAAAAATTCTGGAAATTTCCAGATTTTTGGGCGAATTTGGGGTTTGGTTTTGACAAGTTTTTGAACCATTTGAGCTGTAAACATGTTAACCTATATGTGAAGTATTGTTTGGGTAAAAATGTAGCCTTTGAGTAGTTGAAAAATTTTGGACAAATTGAAGAGAAAATGGACTGCTTGTACCGAATGCACTTGAAAATTTTTCCAGCTTTGCATGAGACACGTTGAATGATTTTCACGTTAACATGAACCCAATTTGACTTGTGTTTAGTTAAGGGGTGTGTATAGCTCAATTTCGGGACAAAATCTAGTAGAGTTTACGTTCAAAAAGTGGACCAAAATTTTATTCTTCACGAGGCTACCCAAAACAGAAATTTTGTTTGAAATTAGAAATGATTTTGACGTTTGGATTTCGTTCTGGTTAAATGTGGACTAAATCTGTCCCGAAAATGTTTTCTAGCATTAACCTTTGTTACTAGGTCCACTTCGAGTCAATAACCTTGAATTTTATTAGACCAAATGCCCTATTTCGAGAAATATGCCAAATCTGGAAATTTTCTTGAAAACTCAAGTTTTTGCCTTCATAAAAATCCTGGAACCAAGTTGGTCAATGGAATTTGGCAAACTTAAGGAGTTTCTATTTTATAGAAATTCCAACGACTAGTTTTACTTGGTTTATATGATTTCCTCTTAAAGGAATTCCCCAAGATATTTTGGGAAAAATTAGAAGGGAAAATTCCTCTAAATGGTTAAACGTGATTTTTCTCAACCTGTGACACCAAAGTGGTGTTAATTTCTTATATGACTCTAGAACTTGGTTATTGGAATATTTGACGAATTTAGCAAGTTTTTGGTTTTAAAGAAACCTCAAAATTTAATTTCACTCGAAATTTGTGGATTTCACTTTGAGAAAACAATTAATACTAGTTTGGGATTTTTGAGTGAAATTAAATGCTAGTTGACTCGAGTTAAATTTGCCAACTCAAAAGTGGAAATTTATGTGAATTCTTTGTATGATTTTAGGAGTTGGTAAAGAGCACAATCTCGATCAAAGTTTGGAATTCTAGACTCTTCACTTGAGGTGAGTGTCTCTTGCATGAATCGTGTTTAACTGCTAGTTGAACTACTTATTAAAAGTACTTGCTAGAGATATCATGAAATGTTATATGCTATGTGATTGCGTGAAATGCCACAAGTACAAGTGTTGCAAGGTCGATTGGAGCGTGGTCTCGTCGACTAAATAAACCAAACGGATGTACGTACCATGCTCTATTAGAGTGGGAGGTACCTCTCTGCCGTCTTGGTAAAAGGGCTTGCAAAATTCTTGTTGGAGTCGGGCTGGAAAATAAGGGGGAAGTCGTTACTAGGAAACGTGTAGATTAGGGAAATGTCTACATAGATATTAGATAGTGAAAGTTGACGGAGTGTCAACTACTATAAATTCCCTGATCAAGCACGAGGACTTTGGCTCCTGAGAGCCCCGTATCCTTTTCTTGTCATGTTACTTCGATTTCCTAAATTGTTCATTGCTTACTTGTCCATTTGTACTTGTTAAATTGCCCTATGTGAATTGCATGTTTTGAGACACCAGTGAGTTATTGGCTCATCCCTTCCAATTTGTTTTCCTTGACAGGTTCTGAATTGTATGAAGTCTTGGAGAACTAGAAAAGAAATGTTATATTTTGAATGCCCACTTTTGTATTTGTACTTTGGGAAAACTTTAGTATCTTTTGGATGACTTTGGTGTCTTTGGGAAAATGTGAATCCTGTGGTGCTTCTGTGCCCTGGATTAGGAATTTTTAAATTGTAAATTAAGTTGAATTTAAGTATTTTAAGTTCGACATTTTCTTTGATGCTTGAAATTGTACTTTTGGACAGAGTAAGTTGAATGGTACGGTTTGTTTAAGTACTTGGCTTATGCGAGAAGTAAAGTTTATTTACGAATTATATTTGATGATGTTAGATGATTGAGTGAGTGAGTTCCGACGAGAGCTGGGCAGGTGACTCACCGAACCCTCTGGTTCGCCTTAGGGGGGGTGGGGCTGCCACATCTTCAAATTGCCAGACATGATATAACTCCTTTTTCATCAGAGGTGTTAAATCCTTATAAGTTATTCACCATCTTTTCATGCTTTAAGTATATACTTATAAGCTAATGATGTAAACATTCTCTATTACGGGAGCAATCATATATCAAAACAAAATATAACCTTCCATACTCAAGATACCCTAATAATCTTAAATCTAAGAATTAATTACACAAATGTCATTTAGAGATTAATCCTTTGGCACTTAAAGAATATCCTTATACGGATCAATCTAGTAAATTTGATTATCCTATCAAACACTCATATACTAGTTTAGGTATCTCAAACACTATAGTAGATGAGATCGAATACTTATTAAATAGAAGCAGTATAGTATGTGTTAGTATAACCATATTAACAGTGTCTTGCCTTGTTAATACTTTGACTAGAGATATTTAAGAATAAACATTATTTATAATCGAATGAATCTCATCATCATAACTCACATGATTTCATCGATTAGGTTTACTCTGAGGACTTTATCATACTTATATAAATATAAGCAACCAATATTATAAAGATGTCACTTATTATAACATAAATAGTTCAAGTGAATATTAAACCCTAGAAGTTGATTGACTTTAAAGCATATACACTTTCAACTCCCACTTACAGTAAAGCCGATCACTCATAAGTCAAAGATCAAATGAGTCTACATGACTATCCTATTTCCTTTAAAATAAGTTTTAGTAAATGGATCAACTATGGTGCTATCCGCAGGTACTCTTTCTATTTTCACATTTATTCCTATCAATGATTTTCACCAAATCATGTGGTAGCAGCTTAACAAGTCTATGGGTATGTAATGAGACCTTGGTTCCTTCACTAGAGCAAATTTTCTTTATAGTCTCAATACAGGATAAAGGATTTAAAATGAAAAGAACCAATCCAAGTTCTATTTGAACTTATAGATCCAAATGTTTCCCTTTGTCACTTCTCAAGTAATAACTTGTTACGATTTAATTGTAAAAATTTTAGTTATGTTTCACTTGAACATGATTCACTATCTCATGAATCACTGATATACTACATAGTTACATTCCACTCTCGTGGGAACTGAAACACAAACTAAAAGGGGCATATATTTTACCCATTATTTAGTACTCGTTTAGCCTGATATTGGCTGTCTAGAGCACAAGCACTAATCATGGAATTAATATTTAGCCCAAGGCCACTCACAATATAGTGAACTTCCATCCCCAAAGTAAAGAGTGCAGCCTTCGTCGAAGCAACAATTGCCGCAGTCTGTGTAGGTCTTAGTTCCATTACAGATCTTGTACACCGGCGTCAGTATGCAAATCAGTACGCACGGCCTGATAGGCCCGGGCCTGACAGCCATGACTTCCACATTTGCTCCCAGAAGAATCATTCCTGTTTTCAGTACCAAAATCATTTTATATCGTGTGCAAACCAAATCCCGTATAGGGTTTTGAAAAATGCTCGAAACTTATTTTTTATATATATATACACATATGGGATGAATAGTTGTCTTTTTATTTTTAAAAATTGCCCCAACAGGTTTAACTCGTACACAAAAGAATAAAATTGGACATACCGCAAAACAGAATAGCCATTGCACCAATCTTGCTGATTGCCATGATTCCTTGTCTTCCAAAAGTTTGCCTTCGGTTTGAAATCGCTTGGGCTTATACCTGTGTTCTTATATAGACGAGAAGAGTAAAGAGTGAATTCAGATTTATTGAGCCCGCCCACCTGCCCTCCTGCTACTGGGTGCAATTATTCTGCTCATTGTGCTTCCACGTAATCGTGGGACCAGTCCATCCTAAATTATTGTGCTTTTGGATCCGTCCAAAATTATCGAGTATGTTTAGATAGGAAATTATTTGAAATAAATATATTAAAAAATATTGTCATACTTTTTGTAATATGATGTTTATAAAATAAAAAAATAGTTAAAAAGATAAAAAAGTACTTGAGAAATATGTTTATGCTGCAATCATATAAATTTTTACTAATAAAATGATATCCAAACAAACCCAATCCTCCTTCGAATTTTGGGACTGGTCCATTCTAAATTAGGGAAAATATCAGAAACCTCCTCTGAGCTTTCTCTTAATATCATCTATCACTCTTAAGATATTAAAAATATGACTTGCCTCTTTTACTTTTACTATTTGTGTGAAAGCCCTAAACTGCCCTTTTGCTTATTTTGCTAAATAAAAATACTCATAAGCCACTTTGTTTACGCCAAGAAAAATCATCACCTAAAAAATAATTTCTTGTAATACCACCATATCACAAAACTATAGTCCATAAAAATATAAATTTGGAAAAAAAAAAGATGTTAGTAGAAATATATTAACAGCAATTTAACTCTATATGCTCAAAATCGATTTCTTATGAACTTTATATATTTTTTTCCAACTTCTTCTCAACTCATGGTCCAATCCTTTAAATTGTACTAATCATTACAAAAATCAACTCGAAATAAACAAAGAAGTCAAACCCCATTCTATCATAATCACAAGAGGTAAAAGATAAATAAAATTCAATTTATTATAATTTAAAAATAAAAAATTGCATAGTCATCCCAAAAAAATGAGTAAGAGAGGATGTTGGAGAAATGAGAAAGAGAAAAAAGTTCTTTTATTTCTTTTTGTTTCTATTTTTTTTAGCTCTTTATTTGATATGTAAATTATGTATCAAACGAGGGCTAATAAAGTCTTTTTGTAATTATTATGAGAAGTAAGTGTTGTTTTTAAAATCTTAAGGATACTGAATAATATTAGGAGAAACCTCCAGAGTGGCTTCTGATATAATCCCCCTAAATTATTGTGCTTCCAGGTCCATTCTAAATTATTGTGCTTCGACAGAAATTGGGACCCGTCCTTCGTCAATTATTGGAAGCCAGTACTTCCTGTGCATTCAATGTTTTACTAGAATTCCCAAGCAAAATTAGTCACGTTTTTGCATGCCTGTCAATGTCAGTTAAGATGCGATGCACCTATGTTTGATATACAGAGGACGTGCGACTTTTTTCAAAACACATAGGCCCACCAATTGTTTCTATTAAATGAACAGGGCAACGTTGAAATAGATTGAAATGTATATAAGGCATCCTTGCCCGCGCTGCGCTGGGTTGCTCTGCTGATGAAAATAATTTTCTTAGGTGAATTTTACCTGGATTCGATTCCGGACAGCAATTCAGTTATTATCTTCTTCAGTATTGGTCGGGCCCGTTTTGCTGGAGCGCTGTGAAATTAGTCGGGTGTAGACTCGGATACCCACAGTGATGAAAAAAAAAAAAGTATATAAGGCATCCTTAATCGTCTTTGATCAATGTATTTGGTTTCAACCTAATCTGTTGATAGTTTTGTAGTCATGCAAAATTGGCATCTTCCAAGGAGAGAATACCTACTTTAGATTTTTTTTTTTTTTTGGAACTTGAGCTCACAAGGTCAATTTTTGAAGTGGGAAATGCAATCTTTGTCCCCTATTTTTATTCCATCCACCAAAATGATCGCAAATTTTTCACCAAAAAGAAATCTAGTACCTCCTAATTATTCTGATATCCACCAATAAAATTATTTCAATGTCTAATGGAACGAAACACTTGAAATTCACTGGAATTTTTCTAGACGTGCCTAATTATCACCATTGTATTGAACACAACATTTAGATGGTTCTTTTGGTAACCAAATTGCTTGATCAAATGCTAATTAACTTTTTGGGTGGATACTAGATTCTTTAACTAAACAATGAGAGAGTCCACAAATATATTAATGTGTTTAAATTTGTCAACGGGGTTCTTTTCTTCTTTTTGCTTGAATAAAATCTTATCCTTCATTTTCCTCTTAATATTTTTACTTTGAATATTCAGGATATGGATGTACCAAACTCAAGAAAATAGTTGTGAAGACTGTTGAAATTTCATTAAATTTTTTGAGGAGTTTGTTTGGAGAGTTTGATGAGAGTAGTTTAGCTTCTTAATTTTAATTTATTTGATATTAAAATTCTATGACTTTCAATAAGATTGAGAATCAATTAAAGTTTGTAAAATTTTTTTATATTTTTCATTGAAGGAGAAAATTAGTCTTAGTATAACACTTTAATGCTTAATATCTCTTTTTTTGTTTTGGTATTCATGAGAAAAAAAAAAACTGTGACTAAGTATGACAAAAAGTAATATGCATAATGTACAATGTACATTCTCTTATGCTAGCTGCTCTAAGTAGTGGACAAAAGGAGCATACTTTTAAAAAGTAGTACGTACAATGCGCAACACACATTATCTTGGTTTTTTTTTAACTAAGTACATTTTTGGAATTAATTTAGTAAGAAGTTATGCATGAATTTGTCATATTGAATAACGCTAATTTTCTTCCTCATATTCTTCTAATGTTAATTTAGAGTCAAAATCAAGTAAATCTTCCGTAGAGCTGAAAATGTTTTTTGATTTTTGATTTAAAAAAAATATCCAGTATAAAAGGATACTTCTTTTTGTCTTGGAGAATTGGTCAAATTGGTAAGGTGGAAGTGAGAAAATGTGAGCTGCATCAGTTGGGGTTGATTTTGAGTAATTAATGCCCAGGTCAAGAGATTAGAATGCTGATCTCATGATGGTATATATGAACATTATCCATGACGGGTATACTCTAATGTCTCCATAATGTTTTTCTGGATAATACTGAACAAATGATGCACAAGAAGTTGGTGGATCAAGTAAAATGAAAGGATCGTCAAGTTCTTGAAACTATTATCCAAAATGGGTTTCTCGAGTTGAGTTTTATCCAATTTAGGTTGGTTGATATAATATTAATTGTAAATTTACTCTAACTTATTTGTATGAGTTGACAAA